CAAAACAACTCAAGTCCACTCGTTTTCTGACAAAACAGCACAAGTCCATTCGTTTTCTGACAAAAGCACCTAAGTCCACATGTTTTCTGACAAAAGAACCTAAGTCCAGCGTGACGTTTTCGGACATAACAACTTAAGTCCACCCGTTTTCTGACAAAACGACCTGGACTTAAGTCGTTAGGACCAGAAAACTGGTGTGGACTTGCGCTCTTTTGTCGGAAAACGACTGGACTTAAGTTGTTATGTCCGAAAACGAATGGACTTAAGTTGTTTTGTCAGATAACGGATGGACTTACGTCAAACTGTGACATTAACTTGTGAATATTTCAGCAAGAAATGCCATGACTGGTAATCGAACAATTGGTATCGTTTTCTGAATACCACGTTATCTTTCACCTGAAATTTCATGACCATATTTGTCACAACAAAGCTTTAAACTACTTAAAACTGTCTCCTGAAAAATTAACAGAAATGGACTTACGTTCCTTTGTCCGAAAAGCAGTGATATTTACTTCAGTCAAAAAAGTCTGAATTTTCAGCCAAATTTTTTAACAGTGCCGTTACTTCTTACTTCCAGGAAGTACCTGACCTTACCCCTCCCGGACCTTACCCCCCTTATTTTCTAATTTCTTTTCTGAAAAAGAAATAAATTATTTTATATTAAATATAAAACAGGAAAGTCGGGGACCTTACCCCTCCCAAACCTTACCCCCTCATAAATTATTGAAAAAAATTATTTAGTGATTTAATTATTAAAGAATAAATAAACTGATAAATAAATAAATAATTAAATAAATAAATAAATAATTAAATATATAATTAAAAAATAATTGAAAAGCTGTTTTGCCAATTTGCCCACAGTAATAGACAATACATTTATTTACTTGAATTATTGTTATACACTGTTAAAATGGAGAGGCTATGAAATCGAATCAGTACTTCCTGCTTTCACCTCCTTAATGGCTCAGGCGAACGAGTGAAGGGCGCTTTACGCTATTACTACGTTCGATCTCGTTCAAAGACAGGAACTCTACTAATCGAAGAGCGTACATTGTATGCTCTAACTGGAGCATGCCTGCAAGCACGCTCTAGCAAGCGCATGCCTGGCAAGCATGCACTAACTAGTGCATCTAGCGCATGCCTGGCAAGCATGCACTTGCATACATGCCATGCACAGTGCACACGCTAACTGAAGCATGCATCTAGTGCTTAAGGGATAGGGAGTTGCCTGCATCAGGAAGCGTGTACGGGTCTGTAAAGTTAAACCGTGCGCATGGATGCTTGCTTGCATGCATGCATGGGTGGCGGATCGCTACGGAATCCACTCAGAAGGCTATTGTTTCCATCTGGCATGACCCAAGAAGAAGTTTTTAGCCATAAGAAGTTTGTCAGAATTGATAGCAGTGCTTTTAAAGTGGTATTTTCAGCGCGACGCACCGACGCTTGCGTGCATGCATGCACGCACTCCTGCCCTGTCGCTAGTGCTCTTCCAAACTCTCCTTTATCTTGAATGCCAACATGTTTCGAGCATTATTATGTGACAAACTGTCATTCTAACTCCTGTTGGATGAAAACAACACCTTTCTATATGGATTCCATGGCGATCCGCAACCCATGCATGCATGCATGCAAGCATCCATGCGCATGGTTTAACTTTACAGACCCTACATGGAATGTATGCACTAGTATGAGCATGCTTGCCAGGCATGCACTAGCTAGAGCGTGCTTGCAGGCATGCTACTAGTTAGGGCGTACAATGTACGCTTTGAAGAGAGAGAAAGGTAAAATTCACCTCCCCCTTCCTCTAGGCTTTGAACGAGATCGAACGTAGTTATAGCGTGAACCGCCCTTGATTCGTTCAGCTGATGTGAGCCATTAAGATCGGTGAAAGGTGAAAGCAGGAAGTACTGATTTGATTTCATGGCCTCTTAATTTTGAAAGTGTAAAACAATAATTAAAATTGATAAATGACATATTGGTGTGAAATACAGTCTAAAGATTCCTAACCATATCTGGTCACTTGCATGCAAGCCGCCATCTTAACCCAAACACACTCCGTTCCATTCCTATACTATTGGCCTAGAGAGCTCCCTGCCAAGGACTCCTAGAACTGGTCACTCACGGTCCTGTTGGTTTACGAATGTACCCTCAAACTATAAGAGCAGCCGCTCAGCAGAGCCGGCATGCAGTCTGTCGCCTAGTGTTGACCCTGATACGTCTTACAATAAACCAGTAATACCTGAACATCTCTACCGTTCCTTAAGCCCTTGCACACACTACATTATCTATTAATGTGGAACAGCTTTTCAATTTTTTTTAAATTATTTATTTAATTATTTATTTATTTATCAGTTTATTTATTCTTAAATAATAAAATCACTAAATAAATTTTTTTTCAATAATTTATGAGGGGGTAAGGTTCGGGAGGGGTAAGGTCCCGGACTTTCCTGTTTTATATTTAATATAAAATAATTTATTTCTTTTTCATAAAAGAAATTAGAAAATGAGGGGGGTAAGGTCCGGGAGGGGTAAGGTCAGGTACTGACCCCTTACTTCTTGCATGTTGGGGGGCTCTGCCCCCCAGACCCCCCCCTTCATTCTAGATAGAGTTGCTTCATCTACAGATAACACGATCTTGACCCTTGTAACTTTTTAGACACGAAGTAGCCTTATAGTATACCCAGGATTCAGCCGGCCCGGGATTCAATTTGTGTGGCCCTTTATGCATTTCGGAAATTTTCTATACGATTTTAATGAGACTTTGCTCACTTGTAGTACTTCGAACGCTGATTCTCATGCTGAAATCTGGTTAAAAAGTTGGTGGCCAATTTTGAGAAATTTGCTGTCAAAATCGCCGTTTCCATAGCAAAACTCGACTCGTCACGGGAAAAAAAGGGAGTGGGGGGAGCCGGAGTCGGGGCGGACCAATAGCCGAGCTTCTTTTTGGTTCTGTACAGCTTACTTCAAAAGCTGAAAAAGCACGTTCGAAATGAAAAATCTCTTTGACTGCAGCTAGAGAAGATGCAACAATAGAATTGATGTCGTTTCGAACGTGGCCATTTGGATCGGCCGGCCGGCCAGTGACTTTTTATGAGTGTCCCGCACCAATCCCGCACCGCTGCATTGTTGTTTTTGTTGTTGTTTTGTTGAAAATTTTTGTTACTCTTCAAATCGGAGTGAATTGAGCCATTTAACTGCGTACCAGTGCACATGCATCTGTGAATTATCTTTCCTTAATGTAGTTTAAGAGTTGCTTTAAGACTTTTAGTTTTTGGCCCGTCCCGTTTATTTTTTGTAAAAAAATGACGGAGGGACGGGCATATAGTATGATCCTTGCTGTGCGTCCGTTCGTTCGTTCGTTCGTCCGTCCGTCCGAGGACTTCCCGTGGTCCGATCTTGACCAAATTTGGTATGCAGCCTCCTTGGGTGACCTTAAGAACCGCCCGGTGGCAGCAAATCCGATCCGAGCCCCCGGGGGCGCTGCTGCAGGTGCACCATGGTCTACATGGGGTCGAGGAGGATCTCGGCAACGGATGCAGCTGAGAGGGCATGTAGGGGTATTTTTGGAATCGGGGCGACGAGAGAAAACCAATGGTACCAGTTTCGAGTGAATCGGAGAAGTTCGGACCCGGGTTCAAATCCCAGCGGGGTATTTTTGGAACATTCTTTTTATTCGAGTTTTTGCATTGTTTCTGATGTTTTTGAGGTTGCTGATGACGAAAACGACATTTATTTAAACCCCAGACTCAGGTTTAATTCCCGTAAGGGTCAAACATAGGCAAAATTCGTACGTTTCTTAATGTAACACGGGACGGGCCAATGCCGATGTATATCGCTACTTTTCCTGTTATTTTTTTAATAAGCTGGTCATGTAGCTGCTCCTTTTAGCGAGGTTTGATGATACTTCTGATTCAGTTAGCACCATGATCGCTTCGCTCCACCTCGCGACTTTCAGTGCTCATGTTCCTCGAACAAGACTCACCCGCGTTTCGAGACCATCCCTCTCGAGTTTATAAAGTTTGTCAAGCCAACCGTCGTGGTGTTGCTACGTTGTGAGTGAGAACTATTACACAGAATTGAAGAAAACATGACTAGAGAACCGTAGCCTTTTAAAACAAGCCAAACAATTCAGCGTCAGCAACAATGGAGGGGCAGTTTTAATGCGCGACTACTCGTGTTTTCAGCTTCGCGATTTTCGCAAGGGCGCAGACGCCGACAAAATTGTTGCCAACCCGCGAAAATTAATTTACTGCCTTCTTTCTGCTACCAACATTAATGATGGACTTCAAGGATGTTCCATTGTCGGAACACTGTGGAATACATTAGCATTGGATTGGAATTTCCCGGCATTTTGATTTCTTTTTATTGCCAAGTTTAAATTTTGACGGGTGGCACATCGACCACATTGGTACCACTGCCATTCGTAGCCACCCCTGAGCCAACCCCTATCCCTACAACTTTTTTGCTTTCCCCACACTCCTACCCAAATTGACTTCGTGACTCCTAGGATTTCTTGAAATCGTATTTTTTTACTTGTCGAGGCTGGGGGCCCCTTCTTCAAGACAGAAGTGATCTGCCTGCAGAAAACTCGATTTTTCGCCGTTTTTTAGCTGTTTTTCGGCTATAAAAACTGAACCAGTTGAGCTAGGATGGTGAAATCTCGCGTGTGCCGAGCCAAGAACATACCTAATAAGCCTGCAAAATCTCAGCCAGATCGGCCGAGCCGTTCAGGAGGAGTAGTGTACGCACACACACACACACACACACACACAATATAATAATAAAATATATATATATATATATATATATATATATATATATATATATATATATATATATATATATATATAATATACACACACAGACAAAACTTTTCAACTGCACTGGCGTAACGAGCTTCGCTATCGCTCAGCCAACAATTCGGAATTCGGGGTCCAAAAATGAACGATTCTAAGCATACCAACATGTGCGCCGTGACCGTGCCAGTCGGTTCAACTTACCTGACGGCACTCCGGACACAGGAGGGGATCGCTGGTCTCCTCGAGGCGCTTGAGGCACTTGAGACATTCCGTGTGGCCGCAGGGGAGGGACTTGGGCCGCCTCTCGCCGTTGTCGAATCTCTCGTCGCAAATGTTGCAACGCAACGACATGGCGATGCCAGAAGAAAATAAAATGGCGGACAGGATCACTGCAACACTGTTCCAAGAAATAGTAAATTTACACTGCAAATCCCCACTTTTTAGCGCGAACCACTCTGTTTCACGCTTCAAAGAGTGAGCCACCGTTTGTCTCACACTTACAAGTGTGAAACGAGGTTTGCCACACATTTGCTGCCTACTGTGGTTCAACGCCACATGACCGACGCTCCAAGCGTGGGACAGTAGCTCACGCTTGTAAGCGTGAGATATAGTGGTTCGCACTAAATAGTGTAGATAGTGTAAATAAATTGCAATCACCGTTTTATAGTTTAAAAAAAGTTCTTATGCAAAGTCGTAGCTTTCCAAAGAAAACGTCACCTTTCGAAGAAAATATCAGTACGTGTTAAATTTGGGATAAAAATGGTGGTAGGGTTCCTAAAATCTTAATGTTGGTCTACGTGATTACAGGAACACGCCCCTGCAGCGGCGTGAATCGTTTATGCCCTTGGGAAGGGCATTAAAATTTTGCTTTAAAGTGCTATAAAGCATACATTGCCCTTCCCAAGCGCGAGTGAGTATGAAGTGAGCTCCCTGATCTGCCTGCTGTGCCCTCGCGCTGCGGGGTAATTCTTTCCCAAGTCACCCGAGGTCCCGAAATCGATGTCTCGGATTTCGACGAAACTTTGTGGGCGTGTTACCTATGTAGCAAAGAGCTCCAGAAAAAATTTTCAATTTTTTTGGTCGGTCCAAAAAATTTGAATCACGTATTTTGTAAAAAACACTGAAACCTGTACTAAAAATTTGTTTGTTGCCTGAGGGCGACCTGCCCGGTGGCATTTTCTTCTTTTCATGGTACTGAAAAAAAAGTCCCCGAGAGCCACTTCAAAAGTCACTTGTTCGAGGAGATATGGACCAAAAAATTCGTTTTTCGCGAATACCCAAAAAGTGCATCCGAATTTTTTGATGATAATTTTTTCTTAGGAAGGTCCTGTGGTGGTCTATCACCCTTATTGGTTTTGGGTTTGGCCAATGGCAAACCGAATAAAAATTGCGTTTTTTTCGTTTTTTCGCAGTTTTTGGCCCATAGTATCGCCATTTTAAGTCTGACTTAGTGAGCGCCATTAGACTTTTTTTTCGCCTTTTCAAGATGAATCGATTGATATAAGTTGAAGTCAAATCGGAGTACTTTGAAAAATTGCCCTTTTCACGATTGGAATCCAACTAATCTAGATGCGTAAAAAAGGCGATTTTTCAAAATACTCCGATTTGACTTCAACTTATATCAATCGATTCATCTTGAAAAGGCGAAAAAAAAGTCTAATGGCGCTCACTAAGTCAGACTTACAATGGCGATACTATGGGCCAAAAACTGCGAAAAAAACGAAAAAATAACGCAATTTTTATTCGGTTTTCCATTGGCCAAACCCAAAACCAATAAGGGTGATAGACCACCACAGGCAGGCGCGTAACTAGGGGGGGGGCGACCGCCCCCCCCTTTGGCCCCTCGAAGGGGGCCAAAAGTACTGCCCTTACTGGGTCCGATTGGCCCAAGAAATAGCAGTTAGTCAGGAATCGTCCCTTAGCCTGGCCCGAACAACTCGCATTTTCGACATACTTAGGCATTGGCTTCTAGCTCGCTTCGCTCGCTGGAGGTAACTTGCTTCTGGGTCCTCTCCGCTGGCAAATAAACAGGTTTGAGGTACCTTATGACTGATACATGTGATGCCTTCTTCGATCCTTAACCATCTTAGGCCGGGAAGAAAATTTGTTTGCAACGTATTTTCATTTTCAACCATTTGTTTGTCTGGCCAACCAAAAATATGTACCTGGTAATGTTTAAAATCTCCTGGAACCCTAGGACTAAGACCCCAAGTTATAACATTTCCCGCTCAACAAGGCTTTAGCTTTTAGCTCGCTTCGCTCGCAACAGGAAGCCTCTTCTAAATTTCGGCTCCGTGGCAAGTGGGGGGAAGCAAGTGCGCCAGCCCTTCTAGACGAAAAAGTCTTCCCCATTGTAGTACTCGGAAACAACGTTTCAGACAGTTAAGCATTTATAGCTTTTGGCTCGCTTCGCTCGCTGAGAGCTATCTAATTCTAAATTCTCGCTATGAGTCCAAACAAATGTAGAATAAAGTGAATCCTCTTCAAACTTTGTAACAACCCCTCAATTTTCTGTAACGTTGTTTTGAATTCAGCCCCCTCCCTCCCCAAACCACGTCCCTAAAAATTACCTATCAGACACAGGCTGCTTGAAGGTAGGCAACTTTTCAAACATTCGCCCCCCCCCCTTTCGACCCGCCTAATTACGCCCCTGACCACAGGACCTTCCTAAGGAAAAATTATCATCAAAAAATTCGGATGCATCTTTTGGGTATTCGCGAAAAACGAATTTTTTGGTCCATATCTCCTCGAACAAGTGACATTTGAAGTGGCTCTCGGGGACTTTTTTTTTCAGTACCATAAAAAGAAGAAAAAGCCACCGGGCAGGTCGCCCTCAGGCAACAAACAAATTTTTAGTACAGGTTTCAGTGTTTTTTACAAAATACGTGATTAAAATTTTTTGGACCGACCAAAAAAGTTGGAAATTTTTTCTGGAGCTCTTTGCTACGTAGGGAACACGGCCACAAAGTTTCGTCGAAATCCGAGACATCGATTTCGGGACCTCGGTTGACTTGGGAAAGATTTACCCTGCGCACTGCGCATCCCTTGCTCGCTGAGCCCTCGCTCGCTGTGTCCTCGCGTTATGGCATAACGCGAGAACACAGCGAGTGAGGGTGCGCATAACGGTTATGCGCACCCTTGTTGGGGTGTCCGCAGTGTTCGGTGTTTTTCGTGAAGAAACGTAACGAAGTTGATCGTAAAACTTATATATATTTTCGCAAACTCTTACAAGAACTCTTACTCATACGCTAGCAAACCACAACTACACTCTCTGACTCTCGGTCTCCGACTGTCCCCGCAGTGCCCCGGAGCACCGCGCTCCAGCCCTTCGACTCTGGCTGATAACGCAGTGCTACCACGACACCACGCGCAAACACCCTTACGCTAACCATCGGTGCCGGCCTCAGTGAAGGGATTTTCGCTCCTAGCTGCCTCCAGCGCGAGGCAGCCCTTCGTTCAAAGTCTGTGCGTGACGCATGCCCTGCCGCGCGGAGAGCCGTCCGCGTGACCGAGCATAGGTCACTCTGGGATCCGGGTAATTCTTTCCCAAGTCACCCGAGGTCCCGAAATCGATGTCTCGGATTTCGACGAAACTTTGTGGGCGTGTTCCCTATGTAGCAAAGAGCTCCAGTAAAAATTTTCAACTTTTTTGGTCGGTCCAAAAAATTTGAATCACGTATTTTGTAAAAAAACACTGAAACCTGTACTAAAAATTTGTTTGTTGCCTGAGGGCGACCTGCCCGGTGGCTTTTTCTTCTTTTCATGGTACTGAAAAAGAAGTCCCCGAGAGCCACTTTAAAAGCCACTTGTTCCAGGAGATATGGACCCAAAAATTCGTTTTTCGCGAATACCCAAAAAATGCATCCGAATTTTTTGATGATAATTTTTTTTAGTAAGGTCCTGTGGTGGTCTATTACCCTTATTGGTTTTGGGTTTGGCCAATGGAAAACCGAATAAAAATTGCGGTTTATCCGTTTTTTTCGCAGTTTTTGGCCCACAGTATCGCCATTTTCAGTCTGACTTAATGAGCGCCATTAGACTTTCTTTTTCGCCTTTTCAAGACGAATCGATTGATATAAGTTGAAGTCAAATCGGAGTATTTTGAAAAATCGCCTTTTTTTTCGCATCTGGATTAGTTGGATCCCAATCGTAAAAAGGGCAATTTTTCAAAATACTCCGATTTGACTGCAACTTATATCAATCGATTCGTCTTGAAAAGGTGAAAAAAAAAAAGTCTAATGGCGCTCATTAAGTCAGACTTAAAATGGCGATACTATGGGCCAAAAACTGCGAAAAAACCGGACAAACCGCAATTTTTATTCGGTTTTCCATTGGCTAAACCCAAAACCAATAAGGGTAACAGACCACCACAGGACCTTACTAAAAAAAATTATCATCAAAAAATTCGGATGCATTTTTTGGGAATTCGCGAAAAACGAATTTGTTGGTCCATATCTCCTCGAACAAGTGACTTTTGAAGTGGCTCTCGGGGACTTTTTTTTCAGTACCATGAAAAATAGAAACGAAGTGATTATAGACACGCAGCGTTTATATAATAAAAACCAACTTAAATACACGCGGCGTACAAATAACGCAATTTTAATTATATACACGCAGGAAAAGCTTTTCCAGCGTGTATGTAATAAAAACAGCCGTTTTTTGCACGCAGTGTGTCTGCAAGCCCCCTAAAATTATTTACACGCTGGAAAAGCTTTTCCGGCGTGTGTATAATAAAGGAGGGTGTTATTTTTACGCAGCGTGTTTGCAACTCCCTATTTTATTATTTGCACTCTTGTTTTGAGGCCAGCTAGGAGATAGAGATGCCTAGGAGGAAGCCGACCGGTTGTGTCGCCTCGTGGCCGAGTGGATACGTGCCTGCATGCCACTCTTTTGGCAAGGGTTCGAAACTTGGAGAATTTTTTCAAAAGATGCGTGCACATAATTTTTCGGCGACACGCGACACGCAGCGTCTGCACAACCAACGATCTATTATTCATACGCCGCGTGTCCCTTGAATGCCGAAAAATTATGTGCACGCATCTTTTGAAAAAATTCTGCAATTTTCGAACCCTTGCCAAAAGAGTGGCATGCAGGCACGTACCCACTAGACCACAAGGCGACACACCCGGTCGGCTTCCTCCTAGGCATCTCTATCTCCTAGCTGGCCTCAAAACAAGAGTGCAAATCAAGGGGAAATAACTTCAGAAAAAAATGTACACTTGAATTAAAATTCAAAAAAATTCATTAAAATTCAAAATAATTCATTAAAATTCAAAAAAATTCATTAAAATTTCACTGAAATATTGCAAAAACTTCACCAAATTTCATTAAAATTCACCAAAATTCATTAAAGTTCACAAAAATTCATTGAAATTCAAGAAAATTCTTAAAATTCCCCAAAATTCAAAAATTCTTTAAAATTCACAAAATTCAAAGTATTTCATAGAAATTCATTAAAATTCAGCAAAATTCGCAAAAATTCATTCAAAAAATTCAAAGTAATTCATAGAAATTCAATAAAATTCACCAAAATTCGTAAAAAATTCACTGAAATTCAAAAAAATTCAATAAAATTCCAAAAAGTTTACTGAAATTCAAGAAATTCACGAAATTCATTCATTTGTACACCGAAATTCAGAGTTATTTGCCCTTGGTGCAAATAATAAAATAGGGAGTTGCAAACACGCTGCGTAAAAATAACACCCTTATTTATTATTGACACACCGGAAAAGCTTTTCCAGCGTTGGAAAAGATTTTCCAGCGAAAGAGCGCTTGCAGACACGCTGCGTGATGGAAACAGCTGCTTTTATTATGTACACGCTGGAAAAGCCTTTCCGGCGTGGAAAGGCCCTTCCGGCGTGTACATAATACTATTGTGATTTCAGACACGCTGCGTGTGTCGTTCTAATGTATATATTATTGCCACGCGGCGTTTTAATAATTTTTACCATTGTTGCGTACACGCTGCGTGTATATAATATCGGCCAAGAAGAAAAAGCCACCGGGCAGGTCGTTCTCAGGCAACAAACAAATTTTTAGTACAGGTTTCAGCGTTTTTTACAAAATACGTGATTAAAATTTTTTGAACCGACCAAAAAAGTCGAAAATTTTTTTCTGGAGCTCTTTGCTACATAGGGAACACGCCCACAAAGTTTCGTCGAAATCCGAGACATCGATTTCGGGACCTCGGGTGACTTGGGAAAGAATTACCCATCCCTTCACTAAAGTCAACATAGCCCGGACGCCCGCCAGAAAAAATTGCGAAACGACAAACGAGTCGTGGCGTCGTCCAGACCAACCGATGCCTTATCTAACTTAGCCTCAAATTTAGAAATAACCGCGTTGGCGGTGCTCATTCCGCCAACACCCTCACTCGCTGTGTCCTCGCGTCATGCGCACCCTCGCTCGCTGCGTCCTCGCGCTGCGCACCCCCGCGCGACGTACCCTGGAAGCGAGCAGCTGGTGAATCCACTATCAAACATTTAGTCTGTGGAAAAGTCTTCCGCAGGCGCGCGAAGTTGGCTCAGTCCTCCCAGATCGCGCGCCCTACGTCGTCTCCGAGGGGGTCCTATTCAAAAGATCTTATCTGGGCGTTCCCCCCAGGAGTATCTTACCTTAAACGCAGGCGAAATTGATCCAGGAAGCGGAAGAAGGGGATAACTCAATTTTGGCCATTTTCCAGGAGAAACCAAAAACTGTTAGCAGGGAAAACTAAAACAAAACAAATGAATGTTGCAGATGTTAATAATTTCATAAAACATTGGGAAAATTTTAGAAAAAAAATCAAAAGTGTAAGGTCACTCCGTAGAGGATTTCTGCGACTTATCACTTTCCGTTGAAATGGAAAACAGAGTCAGGTCACCTTATATTTCCTAAACAAAGAGGAATTTGGAGACAAGTCAAAAGGAACAAGAGTCTGCATAAAGTGTATGTTACTCTGGTGTACTTTTTGGACTTAGCTCTTTTTTCCAAATTGAAATTTAAAATTAAGGGGGGGCTAAGTTGAGTTGAATCTATTTACACTAGATTCATAAAAATACAAGTCGAGTTATATCCTTTTGCCACTTTGTCAAATGGACTCATGTGGACTTTGGTTGAGTTATCTCCATTTTCCGATGAAATTTAGACCGCAAAAGGGGTTAAGTTGAGTTATACCCTTTTTCCATGTGGATTTTCTCCTGAACTGCTTGGAATTCAGTCATATAATTTGGTGTAATGATGGAAACCATTCTTAGGCACAATAATAAAATAAAAACTCAATTTGGGGATAAGTCAAGTTATTCCCTTCTTCCGCTTCCTGGATCAATTCACTCAGTTCGATCATTTGGTATGATACAGCTACAAATCAATATAATTTGTGCCTTGTCGCTTTTATCTGATGATAAAAGATCAAAGAAACCAGTACGATCTTTTGAATAGGACCCCTCAAGGCGTGGTGCAGGCCACGTTTAGGGGAGGGTCATCATAAAGAATACCGCGTTTGCTACGTGGTGTGCGCACTACAAATGAAAAGGTCACATTTCTCGCCACTCAGATCTAAAAGTCTCGCCAAAATTTGATCAGCCAAAAAAGTCTTGCCACAAAACGGTCAGACATAAAAGTCTGATGTCAATATGGCGAGACTTTTGTCTCTTCTCAAAATGGCGAGACTTTTTTCTCATCTCAAAATGGCGGGACTTTTGTGTCTACCGCCACCTAAAGGCCGTAATGCGTCGGACGGTTGCGGCTGCGGCCGAAAGGCCATGGTCAGATTCAAATGTCTCGCCATTTTGTGACGAGACCACACGAGGGTGTGTGTGGTCTGACCCTGACCAAATTTTGAGGAGACGAGGTCTGACCAAAACTTGGCGAGACTTTAATGTCTCGCCAAATTTTAGCGCCATACAACTAACCTAACCACACTTTCCATACAATTTGCAGTGCAATTACCACGCCATTTGGCACTCGTTTGACCGCATCAGTGTGTAGACCGCGTTCGGTTTTTCAGTGTAGGGGTGTCCGTTGTACTCACAAGTGTCCTTGGCGTCCGGGCCCGCGAGGCAGCGATCTCTTTCTCGCCCTTCGCTTTGCCGGTCTGCGGGGACGACGTTCACGCCGCACCGTCGCCACACCAAGCAAACGCTGCGAGAGAACACTAGGTGCCTCCAGCCGTCGTCGCCACTGCCGTACCTGTGCACCCCGCTGTGACACGGCCCGGAACGGTGACTTGTGCGACCCCACGACTTCGTGCGAGCGACCCGGCCGCCCCTGCGCGCGAAAGCAACGACACGGCGGTTCTCCTCCAGCGCCGAAAGCCAACTGCCGCCAGTCCGGCCCGGCTACTCCCTGGCGCACGGCCCTGCGCCCAGCGCGCCCGGCCGTGGATGGCCGCCGGTGCAAGCTCAGCACTGCGCCGACGAACACACGCACCCAGCGCGCAGCGCGCCGTCAGCGGCAACACAATCGTGAACTGCGCATCGCCGCCTCCCCACCCCACTAAAAAATAATTTTTTTGTTACAGTTCCAATACTGTAAATGTTTACAATAAATTTGTATCTGAGTTTCAAAGTAGATGAACTTTTTGCATTGTCCCATGCGAATAGCATGCGCAATGAACATTGTGCAGCCAGAGTGTGCAGACAAGGATAGGAGCGTGCGGCGCTCGCCACGCGCGCCTGCCTCTCTGTAACCAGTGTGATCCACAGCCCCGCGGTTACTCCGCCGTCGCCGTGCCCCTCGCCGTGCCGTGCCCCCACTCAACGTGCCCTCGCTTGCCGTGCCGTGCCTCGCTCAACGTGCCCTCGCTCGCCGTGCCGTGCCTCGCTCAACGTGCCCTCGCTCGCCGTGCCGTGCCTCGCTCAACGTGCCCTCGCTCGCCGTGCCGTGCCTCGCTCAACGTGCCCTCGCTCGCCGTGCCGTGCCCCCGCTCATCGTGACCTCGCTCGCCGTGCCGTGCCCCCGCTCATCGTGACCTCGCTTGCCGTGTTGCCCTCGCTCGCCGTGCCGTGCCCTCGCTCAACGTGACCTCGCTTGCCGTGCCCTCGCTCGCCGTGCACGGCAAAAACGGTACCTGGTTTTCCCAGGAAGCCTATGGTAGAGACATAGGCGATTTCCAGGGAGTTCCTGGGAAAACCAGGAACCGTTTTTATCGTGTGCCCTCGCTTGCCGTGCCCTCGCTTGCCGTACCCTCGCTTGCCGTACCCTCGCTCGCCGCGCTCTGCCTTCACACTAAATGTTTATGTAGAATTTTGTACGTGCCACTTGCACGATTCTGTGCATGCGGGGAATTTGCGTGAAAATGCATAAATTTATGCAAATCCACGCACAATTTTATGCACGACGGCACACAAGTTTAAAATTATTCATCACCACGTACAAAATTGTACGTAAACATTTAGTGTGTTCGCTCGCCATGCCCTCGCACGAAGCGGCGTGCCTTCACCATGAGAGAAGGGCGCCCTGGAGTCCCAGCTTTTTCGGGCCGGGACGCCGCCTGGCCGAGGTTTGCACCACTTTGCGGCTAAACGGCTCATCGAACAACATTTCTGACTAGCTCAGAAGATTCAGGAAGGTTTTTTACATGCCCCGGCGTCGTTACATTTTGATTTGGTCAACCGGGGTCCGAACGCGGCGAGCCTGAAGGGCGGCAGTGTGGCGCGGCCGAGTGTCCGCAGCGGCTGGCTGCCTGATGGCTGGCCGCCGGCTACCCCCACCCTACCGCTACAGGCCAGTAGACACCGATTTCTTGGTTCAAACTTGTGTTAGGTGTGATATTACACGCTTAGACGAAGACAACGTGTCGTTTTCACCGTTATTTCTTCTTAAAAGGCACGAGATATTCACCAAGCGGTAGGGTGGGGGTAGCCGGCGGCCAGCCATCAGGCAGCCAGCCGCTGCGGACCCTCGGCCGCGCCACACTGCCGCCCTTCAGGCTCGCCGCGTTCGGACCCCGGTTGACCAAATCAAAATGTAACGACGCCGGGGCATGTAAAAAACCCTTCCTGAATCTTCTGAGCTAGTCAGAAATGTTGTTCGATGAGCCGTTTCGCCGCAAAGTGGTGCAAACCTCGGCCAGGCGGCGTCCCGGCCCGAAAAAGCTGGGACTCCAGGGCGCCCTTCTCTCATGCCTTCACGCGCCGTGCCACAATGTGAAAATTTGAGTCGTCACTTTACGACAATTACAAGGCTAATTTTCCTAACACCTATGTCATCAAAACAGTTGATGACATTGTTGTCAAACCATGCAATAAGAATAGGAGCTTTGATGAAAATGTCAAAAATTTGTGACGAGATTGTCATTATGTCAAGTGTTGAGAATATCATCCACGATTTTGTCATGAAAAAACAACAAATCTCTCTTGAAGTCTCGACGGGGTCCCAGACTGCACTCAAACAGCCAACAAAGCATTTGCTTGATAACCACGAAGAAAAAGAAGGGAACATCGAATAACTTCGAATTATGAAAAAATGCTTCGCACTACGAAGGGTTTTGCATCATGACACAAAGAATTGCTCCGTAGACTTTACAACGCTTTCATATTCTTCGTATTACGAAACGACTCTTCGCAGAGTTTTTACTGTGGTCTCGGTGGGTCACTCAGGTAAGTCCCCGATGGGTCTCTGGAGGCTGCGCGGTCCGTTTAGCGCGCTCGCGAGGTCCCGTCCCGAATGCGTCTCTGCCGGTCTCTGCTGGGTTGACAGGCCCAGCCGCGGATATCCGTCCTGTCGGGTCCCCTTTTGCGCAATGCCTCCCCCTGCCGGGCAATTGCCCGCGTGTTGCCCGGACTTGCATGAATCCTGCCAATTTGGGCTTTCTCTCTTTGGTCGCTTTTGACCGAATAGCATATTTTTTTACCGAAGTGCTGCTGAACTCTGTTCTTCAGGGTGGTAAAAATGAATGCCCTTTTGAAACATTGAGTGGTCGGTCCGAATTTGCGACCAGACTGACTCCAGAGCAGTGCATCACTGTTTAAAAGACACCCACAGGTTAAAATTACAACTTTTTTGTGCTTTACGTCTTTTAAAACTTTGCTTCGCACACCTACCTGAAATGGCACGGCTCGATGTAGGGTTGGGTTGGTTGATATGGTTTGGGCGCTGCAGTGCGCGTAACCCTGACAATGAAAAAAGAACATTCAATCCAGTGTGATCTTAACGATCGTTGCTTGTGACAGAAATTTGCCTATAGACTCTCTTAGTTCAAAATCTGATTCCTGACAAGCTGTTCTCAAGGGGTTTCGTTTTATGGATTGTAAAACATGATACCAAGATGGTTTGGAACAAAAAAATGGCACCGGGCAAGAACATGTATTTTGTCACGATCATTTTAATACGACGTTACATTCGCTTCAACGTGACACGGCCGTTCAGTTAGAATGTAACATTCGCACGTAGATCAACATCCTGATGAATGCGACATCACATTCAAACGAAGGTTCAAAATTAACGTTGCGTAACGAACATGACGTCACATTTGTCGAATATCAGTGAACAGGCGTTAAGTAGGAAGCAACCAGCTCGTGGCGCCGGGCCAGTTAGGCAGCCCGTCTAGCAGAGGCGTCAGTTGGGTTGCCTACCCAACGGCCTGCAGGGGTTTTCGGTCTACTCGAGGCAGTTGAGGACGAACACGGAATCCATTTCAATCCCCCACACTGTCAGTTCCGTTCCTGGCTCTGGCTTGACCTTGAGCGTTTACATTCTTTGGAAGGACAGCCTTGAAACTCGTGAAGGAAATCATGCGACATACGACAACAGAACTAGTCCAGATATAAACCACTTTATTGAACTGTTAAACTGTTCCCGAAACAGACGCGTTGAAGCGTGTCCAATGACTCCCGCTCCACTGGCGCCTCACGCAGATGGCATGCAGATGACACAGCTTTCGAAGGTGTAACAGAACAGTTCGTAGGCCATTCCCCTACCTAGTACTTAAACGCCCTTAAGTTTCAACCACCAATCGGGGCGCTTTCATTGCAATGAAATATTGCAATGGAGCATTCGTATTCAACAAAACAAATGTTCTTGGTACTAACACAAAAATTGAGAAGGTATCAGTAGGTGAGATATTGTATCATCCCGAAGGTTAAAACGTGAGCGAACGTTGCGACTGATAGCTGACAGGTTTCCACACAAAACCCACTCACTTGTCTTGCCAAGTGAAATTCCCCAGTGTGGGAAAGGGCGGGCATTTGTCGCACTCCCCGCACAGCACCGTCACCACCCTGACGGCCTTGGAGTCCGCCGCCACCAGGCTGTCCCAGACGGCGTGCTTCTGCCGTCGGCACGACTCCTTGCCGTGGGGGAGCTTCTTGTCGGGAAAGCCTGGAGCGGGTCCTCGCAGCAGCACCACGCGCCGCAGCGCCACCAGCCCGCACCGCCCCAGCTCCTCGGCCAGGTCCTTGAAGTGCCACGGCGTGTCTCCCTCCGACGCGCAGAGAATCCTCAGCTCCTGCAGGGTGGCGGCGTGGGCCGTGGCCAGCGACAGCACGGTGGAGACGGGGCGGAGAAGCACCTGAAGCCACTGCAGGCCGCGGTGGTGCGGGGGCAGATGGAAGAACGGCTCGTCCATCTCATCACCGCTCCAGTTCCAGGTGTCACCGCGGCAGCACCGGGGCAGATAGAAGAACGCCTCGTCCAACTCATCACCGCTCCAGTTCAAGGTGAGCTTGCGCAGGTTGGGCATGCGCTGCACCGACTGCAGGTGTTGCTCCGGGACGTTCAGCACCACCAGCTCCTCCAGCTGCAGCGGCAGGTCCGGGGCCACCGTGCCACACTTCGCCATGTGGACGCGCAAGTAACGCAGTGCGGACATGTCGTGGATCACGTCCAGGTGCTCACGGAGGGCCTCACCGATCCACAGCCACTCGACGCGCGGGGCCACACGCTGCAGCAGCACCTTGCACCAGCTGGGCCGCTTCTCGCAGTCCACCCCGTACAGCTTCTTGACCTGCAACACGAATCGCACTCCACGTCACACGTAAAGTGGGGAGTGGGAGGGGGTGGGGTAGGGTGGCCCACGCGAAAAAAAAGTTTCAAAATACGAGGAGCGCCGCACGGAATCTTCAAGTTCGGCCCAAAATAAAATTTTTCCGCATTTTTTCGATTTTTTTGGAGCATTTTTAGGGGTCGCGCAACGCGCTCAAAGTTTTTAGAAAAATAATAATTTTAGTGAATAATACTTTTTGGTGCTGTAATTCGAGTTTTGGTCGTAAAGAGAAAAGCGAAACGCCGAATTGTTCGTATTGATGCCTAGAATCAGTTAAAAAATACTGCATACCGAATTTGCATAAGGCCTACTTTCCAGGGGCCAAAAACTGCAAAAAATAGGGGGATAATACCGTATTTTCATCTTTGCAGGCCGATTTGACAACTTTCCCGCCGTCGGATCGTCTTCTCCTATACGCCAATCGGGACCCCTAGAAACACCTTGGACTATGCGAGTAAATGACTGCCTATTTTCTAGGGGTGATCAATTTAAAGAAACGTTCGAACTTTGTGCCCTTTTTCACCTTAAAGGGCCAGTTTGACACCTTTCTGGGCGTCCTATCGTCTTGCTCTGTGTGCCAATCGACTCCCCATGATGCGAGAACCCCTAAAAACAGCTTGGACGATGCAATTAAACGAATTCCCATATTGCAGGGGTGAACAATTTAAAGAAACGTTCGAAATTGCACTTCTTTTCACCTTTGGGGTCAGTTTGACACCTTTCTAGGCGTCATATCGTCTTGTTCTAACCGCCAATCGATTCTTCATGATGAGAGAACCCCGAGACAAAACTTTGATACTATGGGTTGAGGATTGGCTATCTGTCGGGTGCCATCAAATCAAGAAAAGTATGAAAGCGACCTCTTTTTAAGCCGTTTTGGCCGGTTTCGCACATTTTGCAGCCGTTACCGCCTTCTGATCACCGCCAATCAGGTACTAACCGTTTCCTCCCATCGTCCAGGGTGTTTCTGGGGGTTTTTTCATCATGAAGAATCGATTGGCAGATAGAACAAGACGATAGGACGCCTAGAAAGGTGTCAAACTGACCCCAAAAGGTGAAAAGAAGCGCAAATTTCGAACGTTTCTTTAAATTGTTCACCCCTGCAATATAGGAATTCGTTTAATTGCATCTTCCATGTTGTTTTTAGGGGTTCTCGCATCATGGGGAGTCGATTGGCACACAGAGCAAGACGATAGGACGCCCAGAAAGGTGTCAAACTAGCCCTTTAAGGTGAAAAAGGGCACGAAGTTTGAACGTTTCTTTAAATTGATCGCCCCTAGAAAAAAGGCAGTCGTTTACTCGCATAGTCCAAGGTGTTTCTAGGGGTCCTCTTGATGTGAGGAATCGATTGGCGCATAGGAGAAGACGATCCGACGGCGGGAACGTTGTCAAATCGGCCTACAAAGATGAAAATACGGTATTTTCCCCCTATTTTTTTGCAGTTTTTGGCCCCTGGAAAGTAGTCCATGTGCATATTCGGTGTGCAGTAATTTTAACTCATTCTAGGCATCAATACGAACAATTCGGCGTTTCGCTTTTCTCTTTACGACCAAAACTCGAATTACAGCACCAAAAAGTATTATTCACTGAAATTTATTATTTTTCTAAAAACTTTGGGCGCGTTGCGCGACCCCTAAAAATGCTCCAAAAAAATCGAAAAAATGCGGAAAAATTTTATTTTGGGCCGAACTTGAAGATTCCGTGCGGCGCTCCTCGATTTTGAAACTTTTTTTTTCGCGTGGGCCACCCTAGGGTGGGGGGTTGCACTGGGAATGGAAGAGTCGATCATGACTAAAATTTGGGCCAGGAATTATTTATTATCCAAATTTGGGTGAAGAAGGCTTCCTCACCCAAATTTGGGTTCATAATACTATGAAGATATGTAGGTACACCCTTCCTCACCCAAATTTGGGCAAGAAAACAATCCTCACCCAAATTTTATTATTCCTCGCCCAAATTTGGGTATTGATCATGAATTCACTGTCAGAAAACTCCGTAAAAATACGGAAATTTAACGGAGAATGTCCATGTTTTCAAACGGAGATCTCCCTTTCTTTAATTTGTATTTTTTCCGTAAAACTAGGGAAGTTTTGTATATAAATGAAATAGAAGCCATACATATCAAAAAGAACAGACTAATTCAGGTTGGTGAGCAACTGATTGGGCGTTGGGGCATTCCACGTCAAACCATCATGGTCCAAAACGCACTTGCTCTCCGGCTCCCAATTTTTTCTATCATAGCCTACCACTCAAGGACCACTCATATGAATTTTTTTGAAAAAATATTCAGAACTTTGACCGTGGCGATTTTTTAAAATTCAAATAAATTTTCAAAACTTTTTGTTTAGTTTTTTAAAAATTGTGTCTTTAGGCGCTCAAATGGGTTGAAAACAGTAAATGGCAGCATAATTAAGTGAGAAACAAGGTTGGGACCCTCAGCCTTTGTCAAAAGGGGCGTATGTCTTAACTCTCTGGAACCATTTCGAGGTAAACGTGAGCATTACAAGAGTTGAGGCACTACACAGCGAAAAATCGTAGCGTAGGCCTCAACTCTTGTAATGCTGACCTTCACCTCGAAATGGTTCCAGAGAGTTAAGACAGACACTAGGACAACATTTTAATGCACGGGAGCTACATGGGTGTCATATGGTCAATTTTTGACGACTTGAAGTTTCTTTTGCTACAAAATAGTGGTTTTCGTCTGTTGCAGTACATTAAACCTTTTCAGAAATGGAGCGCTGTGCTTAAACCATAAATTTTCGGTCTGTCTTCACAGTTAAAGACAGACTCCATACTCTCTCAGGAACAAGAAAGAATGCGACGGGAAAAATTCAGCTGTGTGCCTTCTGTTGCCTCGTCCCTGCCTCACCTTGTCCAGGTCCGGATCCCTCAGCACATCGTCCGTCTCCTGGCTGTGCTCCTCGCGTTTGCTATACTCTGAGACATCACGATACTCTGCTGGACTGAAGTCGTCAGAAGCTGCAACATCCTTCGGCTTCCCGACCTGGAAACGGTCAAAAGTAATACCACTAGACAAAATCTTATAGAACATACACTAGGGGCATTCCACGTCAAACCATCATGGCCCAAAAACGCACTTGCTCAGATCCGGCTCCCAATTTTTTCTATCATAGCCTACCACTCAGGACCACTCATGAAAATTTTTTTGAAAAATATGCAGAACTTTGGCCGTGGCGATCTTTTGAAATTTCAAAAAAAAATCAAAACTTTTTTTTTAGTTTTTTAAAAATTGTGTCTTTAGGCGCTCAAATGGGTTGAAAACATTAAATGGAACATAAAAAAGTGGGAAAAAAGGGTTTGGGGCCCCCTCAGTCTTTGCCAAAAAGGGGCGTTTTTGACTAAAAACAACGGTTTTTTGTTTTCCCCAAAATACGCCATTTTACTTTTTGCCCATATTGGTATAAAGGGCCCTAGGGGGGTACTCTAACTGCCAGCAAAATATTGGGGACGGCAATCCAAAAACACGAGAGATATTGTCAAAAATCTTAAAGTTATCTTAGTGGATCGTCAAAAATTGACTATTTGACACCCATATTGCTCCCGTGCATTAAACGTTGTCCTAGTGGCTGCTTAACTTTGAAAACCCTTTCGAGGTGAAGGTAAGCATTACAAGAGTTGAGGCCCACGATTTCTCGCTGTGTAGTGCCTCAAATCTTGTAATGCTTACCCTTTACCTCGAAATGGTTCCAGAGAGTTAAGACAGACACTAGGAAACATTTTTAAAGCACGGGAGCAATATGGGTGTCAAATAGTCAATTTTTGACGATCCACTAAGATAACTTTAAAAGTTTTTTGACAATATCTCTCGTGTTTATGGATTGCCGTCCCCATATTTTGCTGGCAGTTAGAGTACCCCCCCAGGGCCCTTTGATACCAATATGGTCAAAAAGTAAATGGGTATTTTTGGGGAAAACAAAAAACCGTTGTTTTTAGTCAAAAACGCCCCTTTTTGGCAAAGACTGAGGGCCCCAAACCCTTTTTTCCCACTTTATTATGTTGCCATTTAATGTTTTCAACCCATTTGAGCGCCTAAAGACACATTTTTTAAAAAACTAAAAAAAAAGTTTTGATTTTTTTTTTGAAATTTCAAAAGATCGCCACGGCCAAAGTTCTGCTATTTTTTCAAAAAAAATTTTCATGAGTGGGCCTTGAGTGGTAGGCTATATAGAAAACATTGGGAGCCGGATCTGAGCAAGTGCGTTTTGGACCATGATGGTTTGACGTGGAATGCCCCACTATTATTGTTTTACGAAGGAATTTCCCATAATACGGAGAAAATGGCGCAAGCATAATACGAAGGTCGTTTTTCTTCGTATTACGAAAGGTTTTCCTGTATATCTTACAGTGAAAATACAGAAAATAATAGCATCACGAGGAAATACTCTTGCGTATTATGTTTGCGCTGAATTCACTGTAACATAGCTAAAATAACATTGTAAGAAATTTAGAGTGTACAATAAACCAGTCACTGGCAAAAAAATAGGAAAAAATCTGTTAACAACTTAGTGATAATAATTCTCCGAACCTCGAACCCAACGTTTTCCATAGTCCTCCGGAGGGTAGGACTTCCACACTGGTCGGCAACGGCCATGCGGAGAAGACTGTACGCCTTACCGAAAATTGTTTAGACGAAAAATATTAAATTTTGGGTACGGAGAATCATGGCAAAAAGTTAACTAAATTTTCTGTAGTTTTTTCACCTCTGTGGTCGATTGGAGACGAACCACCGTAGCCCTAGGCTGGTCGGATTTTGCATTTCGGAAATTTTCTATACGATCTTAATGAGACTTTGCAGACTTGTAGAACTTTGAACGCTGATACTCATGCTGAAATCTGATTAAAAAGTTGGTGGCCAATTTTGAAAAATTTGCTGTCAAAATCGCCGTTTCCATGGCAAAACTCGACTTGTCAAAGGAAAAAAAAAAGGGAGTGGGGGGAGCCGAGCCGGGGCGGACCAATAGCCGAGCTTCTTTTTGGGTCTGTACAGCTTACTCCAAAAGCTGAAACAACACGTTCGAAATGAAAAATTTCGTTGACTGCAGGTAGACAAGATGCAACAATAGAATTGGTGTCGGTTCGAACGCAGTTTTTCGGGTAGAACTATCCAATAATACTTCTTGATGGGAGTGTTTTTGGACATGCGCAGTGGGTTTGCAACCTGTTTAACATTTTAACCAACTGTAGCATTTGAAATCTGTATTAATTTTGCACTCTTTTTTGTTTTTCTTTTTTCCTGCTTATAAATTCATCTAAAAAAAATTTTTCAATTTTGATGTGTTAATTTCTAAAAAATTTTCCCCAAAAAAATTAGCAAAACAAAAATTCTTTTTTTCTGACATAAAGTTTCTCAAATATTCTTTTCTTCTGTCAATAAAACAATTTTGTCGTTGTTGTGATTTAGTTAGCACTTCGCTCCACCTCGCGACTTGCAGTGCTCATGTTCCTCGAACGAGACTCACCCGCGTTTCGAAACCCTCCCCCCTATTTATGAAATTTGTCAAACCAACCGTCGTGGTGTTGATACGTTGAAGGGAGAACTATTACACAGAATTGAAGAAAAAATGATAGAGAACCATAGCCTTTTGAAACAAGCCAAACAATTCAACGTCAGCAAAATGGAGGGGCAGTTTAAAGCGCGACTGCTGGTGCTTTCAGCTTCGCGATTTTCGCAAGGGCGCAGACACCAAGAAACTAGTTGCCAACCCTGAAAATTTAATATCTGCCTTCTTTCTGCTAAGAACATTTTTAAAAATGATGGACTTTAAAAATGTTTCCCTTGTCAAACACTGCGGAATACATTAGCATTGGAATTTTTTGAATTTACCAGCATTTTGATTTCTATTTTTTGTCAGTTGAAATTTCGACGGGTGGGACATCGATCACATTGGTACCACTGCCATTGGTAGTCCCCCCGAGCCACAACTCACAACACCACTTTTTTCTATCTCCCACTCTACACAATAATCAAATTGACTTCGTGACTCTTCTTTAAATCTTCTTGAAATCGTATTTTTTGTCTTCTTTAACCGGTTTTAGCATGAAGGAGCCAACATACGTTAAAACTAACGAAATTTTAACCTGAGGCCGCACTTTGGGCCATTTACCCTGTGGCGGTGTTATTTTGGCGAAACTCAGATTTTAAACAAATCCTGCATTTAGCTGCACTTAGGCCCATGGGGCACGGCTTTGGTTCGGATGACGGACCTAAGTCTTCGGCTACACACTATGGACACCAAAACGAACATTTAGAATGCATGAACTCATCGAAAATCCAACTATCCCACCGCAGCCCTCGCCGCCTACCTTGGCGATGCCCCCGCTCCGGTGCAGGTGCAGCAGCAGCGGGTGGAGCAGACTGCGGCCGCCCTGCTGCAGGCCAGCCTCCCACAGTGTGCCGTCCTCTGCCCGCAGCTGCACTGGCAGCGTGCACTCCAACTGCAGCAGGCTGGCCGCGTCCTGCAGCTCCTCCAGGCCGTCGGGCTGGGCTGTCTCCGAGACGGTGCCATCTTCTATGGCAGCCAGCAGCCTCCTCAGTGCCCGCTCGGCGTCCCGCAGCCTGCCTTGCCACTGCTGCAGCTCGGCCTGCACGGCGAGCTCGGCGTCCCGCAGCGCCTGCACCACCCTCGCGCGCCCCCGACACAGCGCCTCTCAGTTGCTGCAGCCGCGGCGCCGCCTGCTCCGAGCGCAGCTTGCGGAGAGTGCAGACGGAGTGGCCCAGGTCCACGCACTCGTCGGTCGCAAGCTTGCCGTCGTCCTGGCACCACAACCTGCACAACACCGAGAAACAGCGGCTCAGACCACATGATCGCTTAAGGACTCAGGTCATCTGAGAACGAGGGTGCGGGACTGAACTTGCAATTGATGCAACCCAAAACGTTAAGGGGGGACCCTGTTGAAACTTTGCTCAATTATTAGGTTCATTATAGTGAGTTCCCAAAACAAAATTCAATCCAAAATGTTGAACGGTCTCTGAGAAAAGTAGCTTTTTAGTGTTTTTTGGAGCGTTGGGGAAAAATCTTTCTGCGTCTTCATTGGGACGGAAAGTGTTGAAAATTTTTTTGAGTTATCCTTAAGATGTATAGAAGAGATTTTAGTGACGGAATTTTCAAATTCAACTTCTGTCCTGAGATATGAGTTTTCAAATTTTAACATTAAAAAAAAAACTGATTTTTTTCCTTTTTTTTCAAACTTTTAGTGTGTTTTAAAAAAGTAGGGCTGATATCAAGATTCCGTCACTAAAATTTGTCGACAAGTCATCAATGAATAGAGTCCATGCAAGACGACTCATGTAGGTGTCAACCAGGAACGCAGGAAGTCTTTCCTACGACAAAATTTTTGTCGACTAAGCAAAGCTGTTAAGTTGAGCGTAGAAGCCAACAACAACTGATCTCAATGTTATTTCCTTCCAAATGATAAGAAACTACCCACTTAGCTTAAAGGTGTTCAACCTGTTATATCTGAAACCTTCTATGCACATTTTTATCTATGAACTTTGAAAATACAATTTATTGGAATTTTGGCGATATTTTCACCAGGGTCCCCCCTTAAAGCCTGTGAATCGAACAACATTTGCCTCATTTTCACTTAAACGAGAATTACTGCGTTTAAAGAAGCCCACCACATTGAAAGGTTCTGGGATGCATGAGATGTCATAGCTTCATGAAACCATACTTTTCTCTCTAGGCGAAGTTTAGAATAAACAGAAAAGTGGACGAATCGGCAACCAAGTCGGCGACTTTGGCCCGTTCAGTATATTTTCAGTTGGTAAAATCCGTTGGTGTATAGAAAAGTCATTTTGGACAATTTTGAAAATTTGCACCCTATTTCAGTTTGAGGGCAACTAGGGTAAATTTTCTAAGTTGTTCCAAATGACTTTTCTATACATCAACGGATTCGTCTCGACAAGACAAAATTTATGTGCCCGCATGTCATAAGCTTGGACGCAAACTGAGAAAGTTGGTTCGAGAATTAAAGGATAAAACGGCCAAATTGTTATGTCTATTCTTATCCAGAAACAAAACTTACGGTGGGCCAAGGGCCAACCAAATCCTTTTAGGATTTTCTTCCCGTGTGTGAGAGGATCATGTGAGGAAAGTCACATCAAAATCAAAGATAAGCTATTTTGAAAACAGCGAATTTTCGGAAAAATGTTACCCCCTCAAATGGAGAAAGCGACATCAAAACTTCATCCAATCGTCTCGAAACTATTTCCATCATGTTCCCCTGCTCTTTTAACCTCATGAACGACTGTCGGAAAAACTCTTGTAACTTTCAGTAGGTACGGAGAAAAACAAAGATAGTATAAAAATTATTTTCATTCCGCGAAGTTTTAATCAGAATTATTCTGACCAAAGTGAAAACTTCGCTATGATTTAACAGCCTAACGAGGCGGACGCACACCGCAAAATCCCTAGACATGGGATCCTTTCATGATGACGTCATTACCCTCGCCCCTACCCCTAAAAGAAGTTTCATCCAAATCGAAAAGATGAAATTCCAAGAGTCTGTTGGTTTGGCATGGAATCGCCCAGCTGACTAATGATTCTCGGCGTGAAGTATAAGAATGTATGAGGATCTTTGCACGCGAACACCTAGAAAAGGTATTTTGAATAGGACCCCTTGAGATACGGGACGGGCAAAAAGTGACGAGTTTGGCAACGCCGCCACGCCTCACCTCAGATCAGCGCGCTTCTGCTGTTCCCTTTCGACGACGAAACTCAAAGCGAAGTAGTTGTTCGGCAAAGCGTCAAACAGGCCCGACCAGCTCCTGCAAAGAACATATGCGGAAAAATTAACACTCAAAATAGGAGAACTGACAATACCAATCGGCAACTTTGACCCGTTTCGCGTTTGTCCGTAAGGGGCCCTTACGGGATATTAAGGGGGCACACCAGTGAAAATGGAGAGGTGTTGTTGTATTCCTTATAACTCCCTTACAACTGGAGACAAAACAAAATATTTCTTTTTTGAAAATGTTGTAAATATTCCGTTGTTTCATTTGGTTTTTACTGTTTGTCTCTGAGAGGTATATTTAAAAAAATCATTGTCATCAAAAGAGGGGGGAAAACCCCCTTAAAAAGGGTCCAGGGACGAGACTGCCCCCTTATGACATATGGGGCATTCCATGCCAGTCCGACCACTTTCGTAGGTCACTATCTTGGAATCCGATGCAACTTTTTTTACAAGTAGTACTTCATGAGAAAACATGCTGTGCAAAATTTCAGGCCGATCGGACTAGTAGTTCCTGAGATACGGGCTTTTCAATTTTTGCCTAAACTGTTGTTTGAGTGGTTTGGGTGAAATTGCAAGTTTCCACATTTTCCGTCCGTGCTATGTTGCTAATGGAGCTATGGCGTTTCTGAAGATGTTTTCTTAAAGGGAAAACTATAAGGATTCAGAATCTGTAATCGAATTTGAGATCCGAGTCCCGAAAAGGGGCTAAAAATGGCAAAAATCACAAAATTTTCGGTTTTTTTACACAATTTTCAAACTTATAATTTCCCTATGTCCATATCGTGAAAACCAAAATCTAGTAGCGCAAAATGTAGATCAAGACGTGCCCTATCGAGCTGCGAGACGAAAAAAGGTGGGTATGGGTCTAACTTCGGAGCAACAGCCTCTCAAAAATTGTGTTTTAGACCTAAAATTGTAATTTTGCTAAACGTGCTCTGCAGTTAGTTTTCTTCTTCCCCATCCTAGGCCATTCGTTTCTTCGTGCAGAAATGGTCCGTCTCTTCCAAATGTGAACCAAGCCTAGTTATGACTATCGTAGAGCCCGAGAAGTCCCGAGGACTGGCCTAGCCCCTGCAGGTTGGGCAACCCACCCGGCGCAAGTGCGTCGAAACAAGTGTTGCCTACATTCCAGGCGCTTGGCTTCGCAAACCTCTGCCTTGCGATGAACGAGGGTGCCCCCTTCCCCCAGCCCATACACACACCTACACAGACATTCACCACCACTACCACGGGGCGTGCAACGATACCAAACAGTGAACGGTGCTACACTGTCCTTCGAAGTGTGGTACAGACTACAGATTATGTGTGGTGGGTGCAAAACTGTGGTTACCCAAATTTACCACACGTGATGATGCCGTCAAAATACCTTAAAATCAGTGGTCAGCAAAGTACCACATAAAATTCATTCATTCACAGCACATATGTGGTCAGTCCTCCATACCTCATAAAAGGGTGGTCTTGACCACGCAATACACGAGGTAACGGCTAAATTAAAGGCTTGTACACCATTTTTTTTGACGGGGTGTAATTTATACTACATTTGTACGTGTGGCAGAATTAGAATGAGATAACCACATTTTAGGTCTGACCAAAGCCACATGTGGTAAATTCACCACACTTTCGATCTCAGTGTTGTAGTGCCAGCTCTCTCTCTCTCTCTCTCTCACGCGCGCGCGCTTATGGGCCGCTCCACTGGGCAGGGAAGGAACGTTTGTCCCAGGTGCCCATGATGGAAGCCTTGAACTTGAATTAGAGGGGCTTGACCACCTATGCACTGTGCGAAAAAAACACAGTGAATCCCGTTAATTTTTTTGCCGGGATTTACTGTAGTTCAGAACACAGGATTTACCGTGCCTGGCTACAGTATCTACTGTACCTGGTACAGGATATTCCGTACTCCGCCCCTGTGGTACAGTAAATCCCGTACAAAGTACAGTAGATCCTGTTAAAAAAGTACAGTAAATCCTGTACTCTGAACTACAGTGACAGCTGTACTAATCACTACAGGATTTACTGTGATTTTTTCCCACAGTGTGTTGACCTGGGATACGGAGGTGGGGAGACAAAATAAGTTAAAGTAAATAATTTTGTTGTCACATTTCTTTTAATCCTTTAAGTGGTTTTTGATTTTTATAATTAACCTTAAGAATGAAAAAAAAAGCAAAATCGTTACGGGTGTAAGAATTACACCCCCTGAAAAAAATGGTGTACAAGCCTTCAATTTAGCCGTTACCTCATGTATTGCGTGGTCAAGACCACCCTTTTATGAGGTATGGAGGACTGACCACACTGCCAATCCAAGTGTGAGACAGTCTCATACTATTTAGTGCGAACCACGATGTCTCACGCTTACAAGTGTGAGCCACGCGTGTCCTACACTTGCAAGTGTGAGACACGGCATGTCTCATACTTACAAGCGTGAGACACTGTTTGTCTCACACTTACGAGCGTGGGTCCTGTGGCATTAAACCACAGGGAACCATAGGCAGTAAGTGTGGGACGAACCGTGTCTCACACTTGTAAGTGTGAGACAAATGATGTCTCACGCTTGCAAGCGTGGGACAAACGTGGCTCACACTTGTAAGCGTGAGACATCGTGATTCGCACTAAATAGTGTGAGACTGTCTCACACTTGGATTGGCAGTGCACTTATGTGCTGTGTATGAATGAATTTTATGTGGTACTTTGCTGACCACTGATTTTAAGGGGTTTTGACGGCATCATCACGTGTGGTAAATTTGGGTAACCACAGTTTTGCACCCACCACACTGGTAAAACTAAAGCGTTTTCGCGGGGATCGATGTGTATTTACTCGACCGGAAGTTTTTGAATCTGTTACTAGTCTGACCGACTCGATGTATGCCAAATTAGGGGTCACTGGCTCAAA